GAGGGTGGAACAGATTAACCGGATTTACATTGAACCCTATGGGGAATTATGCGTCGGGTTACGACCAACTCGGGATACACCCAGAGTCACGGAACGCATTAAGTTCGTATCCCGAGGTACCACTGTATATACACTGCCCAACTCCCAAAGGCTCTGGGTGGTTATATTTAATAACTAATAGTGTAGAAAAATAAGTTTGTTTCTATTACAGAAAACTTGCGGATATTGTCATTGGGAAGGAACAACATAAAAAATCTGAATGGGCTGGTATGTAATTACAATAAGATAGTTGCTTCTCATAATATCACTAAGTAAGAACATTATCAGTGCATATAGTGGATATTAGTTTGTTGGGAGAAATATTGAATAAAACCAATAATACTGTGTAAGTTAAAAAAAATCTTGAAGAACCACAGATTCTTGGAGAATTACAAGATCTCTACCTCATGTCAAGAGGATATATGACCTCTATGCATAGCTTTTCACAACTGGTCACAGTCACTGAAAACACCTCACTAGTAGCCATACAGCTCAATTCATTTAGTGGAATTGCACAAGAAAGGCTTCAAAACATACCTTAAAGGTCCAGTTAGGACTGGCAGCTAATGCAGATAACAAACAACTTGCATAATCATTTATATCAGCTAGTTCCATTTAATATTGCTGCACTATGGGAAATTTCATACTTATTCCTTGGACTGCAGTAATCCAACTGTGAGTTGCCGGAAAGCAGCAGCAGCAGCAGCAGCAACAATCTATGCACGGCAAGGTCACAGTTAATATATCTTCTAAATTGTTAAATGGTGCATGATAAATGCCAGTTATGTCTGCACCAAAAGTAATGAAATCAAGAGCACTTATACTATGAACCTGATTTCTAGGGAAGTACAACTTCTCTGAAGCACCATTATTTATCTGGATTATTCATTGGTCTCATCCAATCTATCACTCTGCTGAGTTCAGAATACCTTCTGTCTCAAAAAATTAGGTAATTTGCCGCAAGAAACAAATGAGTCAATTTAATATTTTGTATAGCAGATCAGGACCCTCAAATAAGCCAATCTAGAACAGGCTAAAATCCCAGTGAAGCTGCCTGACGTGACTCCTGACTGGCTGGTGTGATCCAGAAAGCTTTGAAATCTGTGGATCCCTCTTAGGACCCCCATCCCAACTTTCTTTTGGGGGATATATAGAATGAGGATTTGATTTTTCTTTAAACTGCAACATTTTCCTATTTTAAGCTTGTCTCAACTTGGGACATGGTATCAGGGAAGTAAAGGTCATATAGAGAATGAATATATACACACACCCGCACACATATACATACGTGTGTGTGTGTACTGCATA